GTATAGCCACATCAGGTTTGGTGTTTGAAATTGAGTTTTATTAATTGTAACAAGAGATTAGAAATTAATTTAATTAAGTATTTGTTCATGACTTAAGAGAGCTTGTCCAAGTATTTTTAAAAACCTAGGTTAGCACTTGTTTTCATTAAAAGCATTTATGAGAGGAGGTAATTTTGGTGTTATGAAATGCAAGGGAGATAAATAATCATAGGTCCCAATTTATGTTTGAAGTGTGTGAACCAATTGCTTTTCTTTATTTTCTAGTGTTAATTTAGTTTTAAAATCATTTTTACCTAATTTCGTGTGGCTCAACTTGATTGAATTTACTTAATTTTTTGTTTGATCATTGTTTTTGAACAAATCTTCGAGAGAACAATACTTTACTTTCATTATATTACTTGTTACGACCCGTGCACTTGCGATGAGCAACAACCAGCATATCTTACAATCATTTGAATGGAATATATAATAAATATAATAAATTAAATTTATAATTAATATATATATATATATATATATAACATCCCGGTATGTTAGGGCTTTTAGAAAATATCTGATATTAATAATTAAGGAAGAATATAATACAAATAATGCTTTTTTGGGTAAACAAATAGGTTTAAACCCAAGCAAAGCAAGGCACAATTACACCAAAATAAATTTATTTTATTTTTTAAACAAAAGTTTATGTCAGTTAAATCCTGAAAGTTCATTAGAGTCATTGTATGCCTCTAGATTCAAAAAATATTTATAGAGCTACTCATAAATTGTCTACTAATGAGGTTTCTCTATTGACAATAGAATTTAAATCCATAGCCTTACGAGTTATGGGTTAAATTCTTGCTAACTAGAGCTTTAGCTTGAAATAAATTTATTTTACTTGTGTCGCTCTCGAATCGTGATCTCCTCGAAAAGAAAGGTCAATAAATGTAGGAGTCACCACCAAAATTTAAAAGGATAATTTTGAAAACCTTTTAAAAAATAAAATGGTCAATAATAACCAGAATAGGGTTCGAGAGTCGGTTGTGCATGGGGAAGGTATTAGGCACCCCACGACACCCGTTCATAAGAACGGTTAATCTAAGTTGATTATGTAAAATTAATTGATCTTTTAATAACATCTTAGTTATCCTTTATTGCACATAAAAAATTAAGATAAAAAAATAAAGGAAAATAAATTATTTATTTACATGGAAGGACTTGAACTAGGATTAAAGCCTAGGACCTACGTACCTTGCAATAGGGATCAAAGTCCACATAATTTGAAAGTATAATTAATTTAATTTTTTTTATTCTTTAATTTTTTTATGAAAAGAATATTATTTTTGGGTTAACCTTTATTATTATCATTGTACGAAAGTTTAACCAATATTGGAACCGCTTTAATGCAAAATTTGATACCCATGATGACTCAGGACCATTCACGATATCTCTTTTGATATTTTTTTAGGGATCCATGGTGATTTAATATCACTCATGGCATAATCTAGGATATGCTAAAAGAAAATTTTATTTTTAAAATAATGCACAAAGAAAAATTTCTTGACCCTTGACAATTGCGATGATTTAATATCACTCACATCATCAATAAATTGAGTATTCGTGGTGATTTAGTATCACTCGTTAACCCTATATTTTTTGAAAAAAACGATAAAAAGGTTAAAATAATTTTTTAATTTTTTTAAAAGAGAAGTGAATGATTCATCGGTATATAAATAAATTGACAACACACTTAATTAGCCACGTAATAAAATCATTCTCACAATTTTGACAAATGAAATAAACTAAAAGTTTTGCACTCATAATCCCAAGATCAAGCAAACCTTTTCGGACAAACCAAAAACAAAAAAAAGGACAAATCAATGAAGATAAGGCTAAGGAAGAATCATTTAGAATTGATCCGTGCACGCGGTAATCAAATAAAAAGAAAAAAAAATATTATAAGAGGCATAATGTTGCCATTAAATATACAGCAAATCCCAATTGAGAACATGTAACTCAAACAAGAGTAATCAGTTATCAGTATATGGCAATCATTATAATGATCAGTGAGAACCAAAATGGTGGTGAACCCAGAGGCAAAAATTCTAAACCCGAGATAGCCCCCCTTTTTTACAAGGGATTACACTGGCCAAGCACCCATAATCAGATGAACATGAAAATAGAGTTGAAACAAAAACTCACTTTTTAGAGCTTTACCAACATGGTTAGTTTCCTCCCTTCTATCTCCTTTCTAAAAAAAAAAGTCCTCCCAAAATTCCTCTCTCTATTTCGTCTCCTCAATTTTCGTCTTTGTCCCCTCCTCTCCTTCTCCTTCACAGCTATCTCCCTTTATAGGTGCTAACTAGAGTTCTCTTATTTAATAATAGGATCAAACAAAAAAGGTAATTTTTTATTTTGAATCTTTTCTATTATTTTAGATTGCAAATTTTTTCTTAATTAATTAAAAACAAATCCTCATCAAGGCATATTTTCCTCAAATCAGATTTCAAATATCCTAAGTTTCCTTTTTTAAAAAAAGTCAACTTTAATGGGAACATAATTAAGGGGATTTGGGGTAAAAAATATTATTGCTATTATTATCACAAAAGCCCCTCCTTTTTTATTCCTTTTATTCTTTTATTTTATTTATTGTGTTTTTATTAATTTTTAATTTACACTTGAAAGCTTGGGTAAAATATAGTGTTTACAACTTGCCTTGCAAAATAAGGGAACTATGGACAAATTTAAAAGGGAAAATTATTCCCAAGGGCTAATGTTAAAAGGGACCAAGGTACTTATGAGTAACAAGTTGTATTAACAAATTGGCAAATTGCCCTACAAAATCTTTCACTCTTTCTTTGCTCTCTCGCCTTACTTTCACTTTATTATTGGTCTTTTTCTTGGCTCTTTCCTACTGGCACCTCTCTTTATGCCACTCTCGCTCTCTACACTTCGCTCTCATTAAGCCAAAATTATCAACCTTCATCTACAACTTGCTCTCTCCTACTATGATTTATGGAAAAGGTGAAATTTTAGTCTTATGTAGAGGTTATTAACATAAGTATGAAGATTTTAGTCAGCTTTTCTAGTGCTGAAACAGAAGGTTTTAGTGCTTTGAAACTAAGTGTGTGTTTGGATTACATTATAACTTAGGTTGGGATGGCTCCAACTTAAGTTGAGATGGTAAAAGCCATCAAAATTTTGTTTGGATCAAAAAAAAGGTGAACAGGCGTTGGGAGAGAAGTTGTTGGATAGAGCTTTCTAACGAGCATTGGTGGATGTTGGGAGCATTTTAATGTTTTATCAGTCAACCTAAGCTCACTTTACTTCTTTATGCATGGTCATTTTGTTCTCTTATGACCTCCTTCACATTGCTGGATCTAACCAGAGATCACGAGCAACACTGTCACTGTCAGCTAATCTCCACCATGTGGGTTGTTCAAAGTGACCTCCAATCGATCTCCAACTTTGTCGTCTGTGATCTCCATCTTTGTAATAACTCTATCGTCTGTAATCTCTGTCTTTGCCATACTTAAATAATTAAGAAGAAGAAGAAGAAAGGGGGAGGGAGAGATTTTCAGTATGAGAGTACCTACGATGAAAGTGGCGAATCTCCAATGGCTAGACTTGGATCTAATGACTGGTTGGCCTTGGTAGTTAACCACCTCATTTGCTATATCGAGAAGTAGAAACAACATTCCAAGTTTGGAATCTAATGAACCAGCATGGGATTGGTAGGTGGTGGCCACTTCGCTTGATTCTTAGGAAAGCATGGTTTTCCTTCAACCATTTATGTCTATGATAATCAATGGGTATGAATGATTCTGATGAGAGGGAAACAATAAACAATTCAGAGGTCGCTTTCTCATCAACAAAATGAAACAAGTTATTTTGTCAATTTTTTTTCAAATAAAAAAGATACAAGTTTAGTTTAGTGATGGCCGTAGCCTCTAGTTACTTCCCTGGAAAAATTGGAGGCAAAGTTCATGAGGCACAAATAATTGAATAAAAGTCTCGAAATGTAGTGAAAATATTTGATCAGTCCCAAGTCTTTAGGTGACAATATCTTGACGAGCCAAAAGATAAAAATATCTTTTAAGCTTTAAATAATTTTGTGATGTTGAATTGGATTTTTTAAGAAAAATATACCATTTCATTTTAAAAATTTACATTTTTTTAAATTTAAAGTCAATTCTAAGTCACCGTGATCATGCAGTATGTTACAACATTTTCTTATTAGCTTCTTATGAATGGCAGGTCTACACAATAATTCTTTTCTTGAAAAGGAGTCAGACAAGGAAATCACTTATCTCCTTATCTTTTTATTATATGTGTTGATGTTCTTTCCCAAGTCATTGCAAAGATGGAGATCAACAAGAAATGAGAAGTTATTAAGTGGAAGATAAAAGTGTAGATGTCTATGAGCAAGATATTAATATTAGTGAGGTATTCTCATCAAATCTATTTAGATCGTCAAGGCAAATGTAACATATTCGTGATATAATTAGAGATTAATTTATAACCCATATCAATTGCATATGAATTTATTTTAGATTTTTATAATTGAATATTTAATATTTTTCACTCATTAGTTGTAATTTAAAATTTAATATTTTTTAGTTATTAATTAGTCAAAAAATATATACAAAAAAATTATTTTTATTTTTATTATTAAACACGTCAACTGAGTTTTGAATTAAATTATTCAAACGAATTTCGGTTTATTTAACTAACTTCTAAATAAAAAAAATATCTAAACATAAATTATGTTACATGTACTGACTTTTCTTCTAACTTTAATTTATTAACTTTAATTAAATTTTAATCTTAATTGTAAATTTCTTAATCCAAACACACACACTAAATGACTTTAATGGACGAACGTTCTTGGCCTTTATCACCGTTCAGTCATGTAAATTTGAAATTTGATGCTTAATGAATGTTAAATTTATTTCTTGTTATTATATTATATTATTTTTATAAAATTTTTCACTTACCAGAACGGTGCGCTTAACTGCGGAGTCCCTGGTGCTCATGGATTCCGTCATCGCTGCTTTGAACTTTGATCGTTCTACCCTGCCCTAGCTGCGTCTGATAAAACTCCGACAGCCGAGTCTCGCGACGGTTAGCTGACGCCATTACGAGTAGTGAACTGCTGTAATCATCCTTCGAGATTACATTTGTCATTCATCACTGAGAGTTCTGAAAGGAAGTAGAATGGGTCTTCACAAATTCCCTGTCCGAAGTAATTGTCTACACTGGCAGCTCCTACTTGCTGTATCTACTCTTCTGGTAATAACAGTAATCCTGAATTATTTGTTTTCTAGCCACTAAATGTGTGAAGGCCTGGTTATGTTAACTTATTTTATTTCACGCTTTCGTATTATCTTTATTTGCTCAATGTTGGAGTGGGTTTAGCTAACATGATCCGGAGGATGATTTGGGATTTCGTGTGTTCTTTGTTTGTTGTTGGCGGTGGGGAGTGAAAGGGATCACTTGGCTAGTTGTTAGGTGGGTTGGCATTTTTTAATCCTCCTCCTAGGAGACTGAGCGATATGGTGTTGAACTGAATAAGTGAGAGGCTACTCTTGGAATTGATGCTATTCATGCAAGTCCCCGGAAGCTTTTCTCTTAGGCTATACTTCCTTTTATTCCTTTTATTCTTCTTCTTGTTGGGATTGATGCTATTCATTCACTACTTGCCCCCTCTGATACTCCTTTGGGCTTGTTATCCCTCCTATCACATGCCTTCCCCAGTGCTCGCAAATTCCATCATCAGACACTGACAGCACAGAAGTACAACCACCATATATTCCATTAAATATTGGCTATCAGAAGTAGTTTATTTAATCTTTATTCTTTACTCTTTAATGGCTAAAAAATGCGCAGAATCATGAGCAGTCAAGATTCTGACCTTTGAAAGTTTGCAGTTGACCCCTAAATTGGTTGCTGTCAAGCAATTAACACCATTTGTTAGTGAATTCAAGTCCACTAACGAAGCTCCTTCATGTTAGTAGCTCCATTACTACCTTCATTCTCTCTCTCTGTCTCGTTTGCCACCAATCCATCCCCGGCATGGAGTCACCTACTTGTTTGTCTGGGCCTCCTTCAATGATAGAGAGGCCATTAAGTCTAGCATTTGCACTGATCAGGAATCTATAATAATGGGAGCAAACAGATGAAGCGATTTTTAAGATGGTGGTGGAGCACATAGGTCCGTGCTTGCTCCATTGGCAGGGTTTGGGTATCGCCTCAAAAACCTTAATTTTTATCACCTTTGTGAATGGGCTTAGGAGAATATGAGGCCTTTTATTGTGGAGGCATTGGATTTAGATGGTGGTGATGGGTTGTTGGGTTTGGGGAATTTTTTGGGCTTTGACAAAGAAAAAGAAACTAAACTTTGTATTTGGATTTTTGGAAACCTCGCAGATTCATTTGGGGCTTCAGTTTTGTAACTTTGGTAGATTCATGTTAGGGCTTCCTTCCATGGCTTCTTGATAGAGAGTAGAGAGAAAGAAGAGGGGAAGGATGAGAGATAGGACTGAGGTTGAGGTAAGAGAAAACAGTGACTGGATGTTTACTTGATTCCACATAGTGTGCTCACTGATGTCATAGTGATGAGTTAGCCTTTCTTGTTAGTGACAATGATAGATACTTTGATGAGTTTATTTAGATAAAAATATGCATGATTGTCTTCTGTAGTTGTGTTTGTGTGTATTTTATTTTTTTTAAGCTTAAATCTGAAATAATTAGATCCCAGCAGATGGTTTTTGTTTTAATTTTAATTTTTTGTGTGACTAGCATGTGTTTCTTTATGCGTACCCAGGCCAAGATTGTTATTGTTGCAAAGTAAAATGCTTATTTGCGATTTGTTTGTTGTTTGTCAGTTCCTAGCAGTATGCTCAGTTGCATCTCCCTTTGAATCTCATAAAAGAGGCAAATCATCTATATTTTCTCTGTTTAACCTCAAAGACAAGAGCCGATTCTGGAGTGAGGATGTGATGCGTAGTGGTATGTATTGGTCATGTCTGTTGAATAAAATAAGCATCTTTCATTCTTTTATGGACTTTCCTTCTCTCTAACCTTTTATATTCCTTTCAGATTTTAGAGATTTAAAGTTATCAAGCCACAGCAAATTAAGCGCACTTAACTACACCAATGCAGGTGACACATTCATTAATAAAAATTATTATTTACGTTTCTGTTGTTCAAAATGTTGACATTACTGTCAGCTTTACTGTGAGGATGCAGCTGATGGCAGTGGCAAGCTTTTTAATGTCTGTAGGAAGCTAATTGCATGGTATATTGGTTTCATGATCAGTATTGATCCATTGCATTTAGTGCAAAGTTTACTCTTCTCGTACTCTTTTTTCTTTCTTTCTTTCTTTGTGTGTGTGTGTCTGTGTAAATATAAGATTTTTATTTGAGTGTTGACAGTTTATTAGTTGTGTTATGAATATTAAAAATGTTGTTTCTGTAATAGAAGCTTCTCCCTTGAAAGTTCATTATTTTCCTTTCCAACCATAGTATCCTTTGGCAAAACTCGTGATCATCATATCAGATTCTTGGTACTTACTTTTTAAATACCTTAATTACATGTTGAGTCTTAACATCTATTAATTTCATTAAGTCTTTGGGTTCTCTAACTAGGCTGCACTAATACAACAACAACAACAAGCCTTTATCCCATTAGGTGGGGTCGGCTACATAGATTGCAAGACGCCATTGTGCTTTATCATTTATCAAGCTTTTAGGAATATTATTAATTAAAAGATCGCGTTCAACAACTTCCAAGAGTGTTCTCTTAAGCCTTCCTTTATCCCTCTTAATCGGACTCAAAAGTTATATGCTCCACTCTTCTCACTGGTGCCTCCCTTGGTCTTCTTTGTACATACCCAAATCATCTCAACCGATTTTCTACCTTTTTTTCCTCAATAGGTGCTACCCTCATTTTTTCACGTACGTGCTCATTTCGAATTTTATCTTTACGTGTATGTCCGCATATCCATCATAACAGTCTCATCTCTGCTACTCCATCTTTATGCTCTTGTTATCCCGTTAGAACTCAGCATTCACTACTATATAACATTGCCGGTCTGATAGCAGTGCGATAAAACTTTCCTTTAAATTTATTAGGCACCTTACGGTCGCAAATAACTCCTTTAGCTTTTCTCCAATTAAACCACCCACCTTGAATCCTATGTGAAATATCTCCACTGATTTCGTCATCATTTTGAATAATGGCTCCCAAATATCTAAACTTTTCCACTTGAGATTTAATTTGATCTCCCAATTTCACTTCCAAATTATTGTCGAATAGTGTCTTACCAAATTTACAATATAAATATTCCGTCTTACTCCTACTCAGACAGAAACCTTTCGACTCTAATGTCCTCCTCCATAACTCAAGTTTACAATTAACCTTTTCTCTTGTCTCTGCTATAAGAATTATATCATCTGCGCAGAGCATACATTTGGGAATTTTCCCTTGAATGTGTTCCGTCAAAACATTTAGAATCAAGTTGAACAGATGAGGACTTAGAGATGATTCCTGATGTAGTCCAATCTTTATAGGAAAATTCTTTGTTTGACCACTAGGCGTTCTTATACTAGTTTTTACCCTCTCATACATATCTTGTATGGCTCTAATATAAGCAATCCGTACTCTCTTTTTTTCCAATGCTTTCCAAAGCACTTCTCTTGGTATACGGTCATAAGCTTTTTTCAAATCAATAAAAACCATGTGTAAATCTTTATCTTTACAACGATACTTTTCCATTAATTCCCTTAGTAGATAAATCGCCTCTGTAGTTGATTTACCTGGCATAAAACCAAACTGATTCTCAAAAATACTTGTCTTCAATCTTAACCTGTGCTCAATTACTTTTTCCCACAATTTCATTGTGTGGCTCATGAGTTTAATCCCTCTATAGTTAGTATAATTCTGAATATCTCCTTTATTTTTATAAATAGGAATTAATGTACTTTTCCTCCACTCATCAGGCATTTTCTTGGACCGTAAGATCACATTAAATAACTTAGTTAACCATCTTACCTTTTTTTCATCTAAACATTTCCACGCTTCGATAGATATACAATCAGGTCCGTTGGCTCTACCATTTGCCATTTTCTTAAGAGCTTCCTTTACCTTCTTATCACGTATTATTTGATAGAATGACAAATTTTATTCTCCTTCACTAGTTATTAAATCCTCCAAGTTACTAGATGAACCCTCTCCATCATTGAAAAATTTGGAAAAGTAAGTCTCCCATTTATTTTTAATTTCATCATCTGTAACTAAAATTCTTCCCTCTTCATCCTTAATACACCTTACCTGTTCTAAATCTTTTGATTTTCTTTCCCTACTCTTGGCAATCTTATAAATGTTTCGTTCTCCTTCCTTCGTCTCAAGGCTCTTATAAAATTCTTCAAAAGCTTTAGAACGAGTTTCACCCACAGCTCTCTTAGTTTCCTTTTTAGCCATACGGTACCTCTCCCAATTTTCCTCATTGTTATACAAATGTATGGCTTTAAAACAGTTCTTCTTATACTTGATTTTGTCCTGTACACTATTATCCCACCATCAAGACTCCTCATCTCTGGGACTAGAATCTTTTGATTCTCCCAAAACTACTTTTGCAACCTCCCGTATCTTTTTAGCCATATCCTCCCACATGATGTTAGCACTTCCCTGAGATTTCTAATTTCCTTTGTCCAAAAGATTTCACTTGAAAATATCTTGCTTTTCACCTTTTAATTGCTACCACCTAATCCTTGGTGCTATTACTTGTCGATGCTTTTGGATTTTACTTATAATACACACATTAAGGACTAGGACCCTATGTTGTGTCGTTACAGCATCGCCGAGGATCCCCTTGCAATTTTTACAAAGTCTTCTATCTGTGTTCCTAACCAAAAGAAAATCAATCTGTGACCTTGAGGCTCCACTTTTGTAAGTGATGAGTTGCTCATCTCTCTTCTTGAAATAAGTGTTGGCAATCTTAAAATTATACGCCAATGAGAAATCAAGAAGAGTTTGTCCTTTATTGTTTAGCTCTCCAAAACCAAAACCACCATGCACCCTCGTATACTAACCAGCCTCCCTCCCAACATGCCCATTAAAGTTTTCTCCAATAAAAATCTTTTCACTCTGTGGTATGTGTCAAATCAACCCCTCCAGATCCTCTCAAAATAATTCCTTAAGACTGGCTTCTGTCCTGACTTGTGGCGTATAAGCGCTAACAATATTAACAGTCTCACGTTCAATTGTCATTTTTAAGGAAATAATTCTGTCTTCAATTCTGCTAACTTCTACAACATTCTTCTTCCACTCCTTATCCATAATGATGCCTACTCCATTGCGTGCGCTTACTTTTCCTGTATACCAAAGTTTGAAACCTTAAATATTCTTAGCTTCTTCTCCACGCCATTTTGTTTCTTGCAGGCAAAGGATATTGATTTTCCTTTGAATCATAACCCTTACAACCTCTACAGATTTACAATTCAATGTCCCAACATTTCAAGTATCAAATCTAATTTTGCTCTCATGGACTAACCTCTTTAGCCGCGTGCGTCCAGAATGACGCGTAGTCCTTGCTCATTTAACACTACATCCGGGCGCCGATGCAGTGGCTCTAACTCAATTATCACTGTACTCGAGCCATGCAGCGCGTTACTTACGGGCAACGACCTAGCATTAACATTATAACGTCTATTGTCCATGTTCATGATTGATTCAACAAAGTTTTACATTGGTTGTTGATGGCCTAACACAACCCTCCTCCTTTATCCGGGCTTGGGATCGGCTATAAATATAGGCGGAGTTTAGGCTTCACTAATGCGCTATACAATTTCAGAAATCATAAATTCATTGTTAATGTACATTAACAGTCTGTATGCATACTTTAAGGGTCAGTTTGGGGGTGTTGCAGCATTCCAAAAGCTTGGTTGCTGTTAATGCTTTGAATAGTCATTCTTTGGGTGGTATAAATATAATGCTTGGCAAAAGCTCTGCAAAAGCCTAAAATACAGAAGAATTGACTGATAAGATCCTTGGTAATAGCATTTAAAATTTAGAAGTTGTTCTGAACATGAATAGTGACAATAATATATTCTTGAAAGAACTTTTAGGCTGCACTGTAAAAATTGAATTATATATTTTTTGGGCAATATGATTCTTGGAATCACTGAATGAGTGGAAAACATGGGTGAGATTTGTGTGCTTGGTACATTTTGCGCCTGTTGCAGTAGTACTAATGAAAACTTGGGAAGCATTTTGTGTTCTGGTCAGAGAATTCATCATAAAGTAATGGACATTTGTCAAGGATATATCTTGGAACTTAACTTGATTAAAATATCTCAGTGCATTTAACTTTATACTAATTGGAACTGTGTTGCCACATGCCAAGCATCTTCCTTGCTGCTTTTTGGTGAAGCCATGACTATGTCAAATCATCAAATGGAGAATCATAAAAATTCGGCCAAACATAAAATTACAGCTTTTGTTGTCAAAAATACTAGAAGCCATGGCCATAATATTCCCAATTGGAGGGCCATTTTTATAAAAGTATTTGCTTTTCTGTATTACAGGTAATATTGCAAACTATCTTAAGCTCCTTGAAGTTGATTCCATCTACCTTCCAGTTCCCGTGAATTTTATCTTTATAGGATTTGAAGGGAAAGGTCACCAAGGTACATAGTTGGAAGACTGACTTGTATCTTTTCTCTCAATATTATATTTTAATGTAATGTTTTTTTAAATTCTGTAATTCTTTTTATGTTTTACAGAGTTCAAGCTTCACCCAGAAGAAATTGAGCGCTGGTTTACAAAAATTGATCACATCTTTGAACACACACGGGTTCAACATGAAGAGATTCTAAGCCCATTCTCCAAAATCAGTGCAGATAAAATGCAGCTGCACCACCATCTTCCTGTTGTCAGTCACATAAATTACAAGTAACAGTTTTGTTTCCCCCCTTTTTATGATGTCTGTTCTTTTAGTGCTGATGTCATTTCCTTTTTAGAAATCTAACCCTTCATTTTTCTAACTTCTTTGTGATATGGCTTGAGATTCACAACAGACTTATAAATAATTTCTTAAGATTCATGGTTGAAGTTTAGGGGAGGGAAGTGATTTAGGGACCGTGAACATCAATGGTCGCGTGGCTTATCTCAATGTTCATACCTGCTAGGGAAAAAAGGTTGTAGACAAATAAGAATTAGGTGCAACCAGCGAGCTATGTGCATTGGTAGTAGTGGTAAATGATAGTTTTTTGGGTTTTATAACCTTGGATTTGGCCAGGAAAGTGAGTTCTGCCATTTTGAGTGAAGTTTTATGAGAGATCTGGCCTCTTGAAAGCCAGAACCACTGCCTCATGGATCATTGTTCTGTCACATGTGTTCTTGTGATTGTTATTCTGTATCTGTGTGTATTTGGGATATAGTTTTTGGCTGGAATCAGTTTCCTCTCTTATAGTTATTTTGTTTAAGAAGCCAAGTTATCCCCACTTGCTGGCTGTTTCCAGTGTCTCTTATTATTCTGTTGAAAAGAGTTGCAGTTTCCTAACATTATGACTCAATGGGAAAGGGGTTTTGATAGGGAAAAATGTTTGTAAGCACATTGTTGTGACATCAAATTTGGAGGAGTTACACCATGAAACGTGTGAACTAAATGAATGGATGAAAAAGAAAAATTGCACAATTGAATTATGAAGACTCATATCTTGTCTTTGATAGTTTCTATCTCCAAAGAGCAGTAGCAGTGCTTACAATTGGCTTCCCTTGGTGTCTAATGTCCTGTTACGACAAAAACTAAACCTTACTATCTTCTGTTCCCCCCTAATTCCATTTTTGCTAATATATTTCAATTTATTCATTTCCATAAAAATATATATTAGAAAGACAAGAAGTACATAGATAGATGAGCAGTCCTAAAACAAATAAGATAACAGAAGAATGGAAGCAATCAATAAGTTTATATAATAGTAGCTCATAGGAGCTTTCCAATCCCTATGCAAGATCATAAGCGGAACCTGCCCCAGAAGACTCATTTCACAGCCCTTTTTTGTGATATTATAGATGGAGGTACATGAGTGGTGCGTCCAAAGCAAATCTGATCTACAAAGTTAGTGTTATCTTTTCTTGCTAAGATTGTGATACTTTGGTGCAGTTTTTCCGTTCATGCTATAGAAATGGGGGAGAAGGTTACTTCTTTACTAGAGCATGCTATAAATACTTTTGGTCGCATGGAAAATCCAGTTGGTAGCAGGTAAGTGATGCTTGTTTTGCATTTTATTATACTTGATTTGTTAGTAGAAGTATTTAGGTTTGCTTTGACATGTATGATAGCATTGAATGTCCTTATAGCTAAAATCCATGTGCAATATAGGAACTCCAACAAGCCATGCTATTGACGAGGCATGAATAATGCATCTTACTTCTCAAATTCTGTGCATTGCAAGGGACCCACGTTAGGTACAAAAGAAGTAGATAGGATAACTAGTTGCTCATGTATTCAAAAACTGCAAAATTAGACCAGTAGAGAATGAGTGATAGATGGGTAAATGCTTGCTACCCATTTGTAAATTTTACTCCCATTGCTCGGTGAATGATCAACTAAAAGAGGCAATCCACCTTGATTTATTTATTCTTCCTTTTGTTTCTCTTGCTTTATCTAATTCCTTTAACTTGTTGCTTACAGGAATAGTGATGGTGGTGTTTGGCAAGTAGATGTTGACATGATAGATGCTCTCTTGGCTAGTCTGGTTGAATACCTTCAACTTGAAAATGCATATAATATCTTCATTTTGAACCCTAAGCAAGACAAAAACAGGCCTAAATATGGATATCGGTGAGTAGCCTAATTAGATCATGCAATTTACTTGGTTCCTTTTCATTATGTGTGTATATCATTAACTATTAACAATATGCTATAGAACTCTCTTGTTGCTCTCAATATATTAATTTTAAGAAAAATTGATCATTTGATCGTTGTAGTTTTGACTTTATTGTAATTTAGTTTTTGAACTTTGATTCAGTGCAACTTAGTTCTTATAGTTTTGACTTTGTTGAAACTCAGTTCGAAAATTTGATTTGGTACAACTTAGTCCTTGTAATTTTGACCAATTAAAATGTTAGTCCCTACATTTTAGAAAATAAATTGCAGAGAATAAAATTATTTCTTGAAATTTAGGGGCTAATGTTTTATACAACTAAAAGTATAGGAGCTGAATTATACCAAATTCAAGTTCAGGAATTGAATTTTAGTTGTGTCAAAATACAGGGATTGAGCTATGTCAGGTCAAAGTTTAGAGATTGAGTTGAAACTGAGTTGTGATTCTAGGGATCAAATAGTTAATTTTTCCTTAAATTTATGAGTAAGAAATTGGGTAAAGAAACCAATAGTCTTTTGAGATTAAGGAATATTTCTTATTAGAGAAAACAAAAATTCAACAAGAAGTGAGATAAGGCTATATGGATTATGATGTCATTACACTTTATTCACAACAACCCTTCCAATGTATTGTTCAACAATAGATCTCAATTGACGATTCATTGAGTGGCCTTTTTGTCTCCTTTTAACTCTCTACCATTAGCCTCCTTTGCACATGATTGAATCATCTTAAATGGTTTGTACCATTTTCTCTTCTATAGATGGATTACAATCATAATGAATCTTATTTTTCTTGTATGATCACATACCCATCTCATCATCCTCATCTGTTACCCCAATTTTATGCTCCTGTTGCCCTTTCAATGCCCACATTCACTACTATATAACCTTGTTAGTCTTATAGTAGTTTGATAAAACTTCCTTTCAAGCTTGGTAGGAACTTTACGATTGCAAATAACTCTTGATGCCTTCATTTCAACCATCTAGCTTAGTATCCTATGCATAACATTTCCATCATTTTGTAATGAGATTTTGTAACATTCTGATCTGTTCATTACTCTCTGTTTATCTGAATGTATGCCTGTATATCTTGTTTATCACTCTTGATTTATTTTATTTCCTACCTTTGACCTTCATAGGAGAGGCTTATCCTTGGGTGAAATCAGCTTGCTTAAAGAGGTTATTGTCACTTTCCTTCTTTTGTACTGAGAACTTTCATTTTGAATGTGATGTTCTTGTTTCACTCTTGAATCTGCTTGTAAAAAGTTCACGTAAAGACTATTTGATTATTGATTCATTCAATGGAAATACTCACCGCTCCTGAATCATACAGAATAAGACTTTGCAGACAGAGATTCTTCAGTCAGAAGGCATTCCTGAAACTCTTCTTGGTGAGAAATTTTTCTCTGTAAATATTGGCAGAGTATTGAATCATTATGTTACGAATCAACATTAGGATCCCCCGAAATCTTGATTCTTCATAAGAGAAACCCTCTTGATGAGCAGAGTTTGTATGAAATTCTTGAACTTTTTGATATATTTTGTTTTCAGAAGTTTGAAATCTGAAATTATTTCTCTTTCATTTGCTTAGTGGCCTTTTTCATTCACTGCATAAATTATTTTACAGCTCTTTCTAAGATTCAACGACCATTGTATGTGAAGCATCCTATGATGATGTTTTCATGGACAAGGACTGAGGACACTGATATTGTAAGTATTTGTTTCCTTTAAGTGGCAGAGCAGATTCCATTTCATCATCATTTTCCTAACATTGAGCTAAGAAAATTATTATTGTAATTTGTCGGGCCCAATATTAATTTTCTTATAGGAGTATATACAAGAATTGAGGACACTAATATTGTAAGTATTTGTTTTCTTTGCGTGGCGGAGCAGATTCTATTTGATCATTAGTTTCTTAACATTTACATTGTGTTTGCTTCAACAGAGGAGAGGGGAGGGGGAGGGATTTTAATGGAATGGAGGTGAGGGAAGGAGAGGGTAAGGGTTTTATGCAGGGGAGGGGAGGGAAGAGGAGAGACTTATGGGCAATTTGGGAATTTAGAATTATTATAAGGGCAATATTTTCCAAAATGGCTGTAATTAAGAGTCACTTCTCTGAAAACCGCCACTTTTGGAGGGGAGGGGTAATAAGTCCATTAAAACTTGTTTAACCAAACAAGGGGAGGTGAGCCACTAAAATTTTTTGAGCCAAATGAGGGGAGGGGACTCCCCTCAAAATTTCTCTGCCAAGCTAGGGGTCTCTTGTTATTTTCATTTTTTTTTTCTTACTGTAATTGGCATTTCTGCCCTTTGCTATCATCCCATTGTCTGATGAATAAAAGCTATTCACTGCTTTTTCCCCCCCTCTGAAAATCCTTACAATTGTATGTAGGTTGATTGGTACAATAGTTGGCTTGAAGCAGTGGATAAGTTTGGGAAGTTCTATCAACTGAAAGACACCACTGATGTTACTAAAGCCAAAGTTTTGCAGGTATGTACTCATAATTAACTTTGTGGAAATAAGAAAACGTAAGTTCTATGTGAAATATTGATTGAAAGGTCATCCTGCCCATCTCTTACCTTGACATTTACGTTTTTCCTTATATTTCAAGTTATTGAAAGGGAAGCACAAAGACCTTAAGCTCTTGCTGGAAACGGTGTTAAAATCTGGGGACTTTAGTGGTTTTCATGCAGAATGCCTCACCGATATGTGGATTGGAAAGGATAGGTTCAATTCTTTTCTTTTTATGCATATGCTGAAATTAAGGCATACATGTTCATTTACTTTTGTTAACAGTTGTTGCTATTTCGTACCAGATGGGCATTTATTGATTTAAACGCTGGTCCTTTCTCATGGGGGCCTTCTGTTGGTGGTGAAGGTGTTCGCACAGAAGCAAGTTTACCAAATGTGGACAAAACAATCGGTGCAGTTTCAGGTAGTAATGCTAATTTTTTATCATCCTAGTAGATAAACTACAATTTCAGCCCTTTTAATAAAATAGAGGATGGGAAGGATGATAAACACTAAAGCTGTGAGATAAAATATGTGTAATCATCTAAGAAGTATCTATATGGATACATGTATAGGATATGATGTGGCAAATATGTCAATTTTTAAAATTTTTGGACATGGGTATGGGTACATATGTAATTTAATATACACATACAAACAACATTTATGTATAGTCAACAATTTAACAAATAAGATGTTTTTAACAATTCAGAAATAAATATAGGCCTTATGAAATGTCATAAAAGATGAGGATCAATTTAAATTGATCTTCATCTTCATTGAAATTCATAGCATCTCTTATGAGTTGCTCCAAAATTGGCCCATCTAGACAAATTTGTGACTTCATGATTTTCAACACCATCAACTCGCACCCAAGTGTCTCCCATTAGGATCCCTCATTTTACTTTGTCTAATAAAGTACTTTTTACTCTTTCTTGATGTAAGACAAAGATTTGTTCAGTGTTGTTAAAGGCGAAAGGCACACTCAAGGCACAAAGCCTATAAAATGCCTTAGGCGCAAGGTGCTAGAAAGGTGCGTGCTTGAATGAAGCAAGGTGCTGCCATGTAAAAATGAAACATATATAGCCAACTAACCATAGATAAAATGATGAATATAAATTTATTTAAACCTTCATATAAAATTGTGTTCTCTTGTCATATTTAAAAATTCAATCAAAAATAATTTCTTATAATAAATTAAAATCTTTTCTATTCTATAATTGTTTTCTCTTATTTAAAATTTAAATCTTTCCTATTTTCTTATGTTATATAAGTTTCCTTATTTTTTATATCATATAATAACTTTCTATATTTTATATCACATTTATTAAAATATGATATAAAATATTGAAATACCCACTGCCTAGTCATGCTCATGAGTCAAGAGTCCAAGGGTGAATCTTCTTCCATTTTTATAAAAATCGTGACTCATGATTGCAATTCCTAGTCGGTGGATGAATCGTCTTCTCTTCTATTCCCAACGACCGTCGTCCTCCTTCCTCGTCTTCCTTTCTCCAATGCCTAGTCCCTGTCGATCTCAATCTTCTCTTCTCTACTGATTGTCTCTTCTCTACTACTCCAAGGCGTTATTAGGCGAGTGCCTTTTGGTCATGCAAAGAACACAAGGCGCTCGTGACCAAACCCATCGCGGCTCTTCAATGAGAGGCCATGGCCATGTTCAGCGCCTCGCCTTGGAGCCTTTAACAACATTGGATTCGTTTGAGCAAAAACCAAGTCTTTTGCTCTTTTTGGAGTTATCTTGTTCATTGAGTGAATAAATTGGTAAGTGCTATAATTTCTTTCACAACAAGATATTGAGCATGGTTGATCAAGAAGTTTAGTGCAATTTCTTGTAGAAAAGGGGTGATGAAACTATAGTTTAGCCACCACTCTTGAGACTTAGAATTTCACCTATCTTGTAAGGAATCAAATGAATGATAAGCATATTATATATTGTTTTGTAAATGATAGTATGTAATCAATCTTGTCCCACCAAGAGTCATCAACAATTGAGTCTTAACTGTAATTGTCTTTCCAACATGTATTCCATATTTCACTAATAACCATTGTATAAAGAGAAGTTTTGATGAGCTTGAGTTTCTTGAGCATCACAATCGTTAACGCAAATCTAGTTTTAGCTTTGGCAACTAATTTTAGTGGCGCAAATTCATTAAAAATTGCCAACCTCACATAATAGTTAATGTTAAAAGTTCCAATAAACCTTGCATTTTCCTTGACCTGAGTGATTCAATGACATTCATCATTTGCAATTTCATTTGCCTTTATGTGGAGATAGCTAGCCTCAATAAGTTTACTTGTAGCTTTACAAGCACCCACATCTTTAGTGATTATAAGCACGACATTTTGAGGCATGACATCTTCAATCATTTGACACATCAAATTAGCTATATAAAATGTCTTTATATTCCTTAGACCCATCAATTACTTCCAAAATTATGTGACCTCTATCAGATACAACCATAAAATTAATTAATGGTCTTCTTTGTATATCTGTCCAACCATCTATAACTATATTTACTCTCACTCAAGTCCCTTTGATTGGTTCAAGTAACCTCACAATGTTGGCCCTTTTTTTTTGCAACAAAGGGCCCATAGTGCATTATAACTAGGAGTTTTATTGTTTGGATACCTTTCAAAATCAATTTTGAAGACTAAGTTCATAGTTTTGTGAAAATATATCCAAACATCTCTATTACATGCCAAAATCAAGGGAAAACATAACTTTAAGTCTTTGTATTTTGCTCGAGTTTTGCTATTGGTCCCCATACTTTTTTTCGGTGTTTTTGGTTCTTTTACTTTTGTCTTTCATTGTTTCAGGTTCCTCCATGAACAAAGCATAAGGACCTTAGAGGGACCTGAAACAATGAAAAACAAAAGTATAGGGGCCAAAAACATTAAAAAAAAGTACAGGGATCAATAGCAAAATGCAAGCAAAGTATAGGGACCTAAAGTTTTGTTTTTCTCAAAATCAAATATCAATTATGAACACAAAACCATGTTTTTTTTTTTTTGAAATAAAGGGTTTAGGGTTTGGATATATTTTCATGAAGCCATGGTTTTACCTGATTTTCAATTTTGTTTTTTCAGTTATATTCAAAATCAATTACCACAAAGCATAATCAATTATATTCAAAGTCAATTATGCATTAATTTTATCTAATGTTAATCCAAATCGACTCTATGGTTTTTGCAGCATGTTAAAATGCCCCAAAAAATATGGATTACGTGCCAAATAAAAAGACAAATGTAAAACATTCTAACAATTTCAACATGTAAACTCCAAGTATGATGTTGGAATTATATTGGGGTTGCTGACTGCTTAAAGAATTTTCAAAAATTCTAGTTTATTGTTCATATAAACTAGGGTTGCAGAGATAAGTAGAGAATTACAGAGCAAATAATCTGCTAAAAAACCATATCATAATCGTGGTCATATCCTAGAGAAATCTGAGCAAATATACAGAAGTTTGAATAAAAAATATTCTAATAGTTAATCATAAGACATAACAACTAAACCTGTAAAGGCTGGGCCGTGATTAGCTCAATGGTCTTTGCTCCCCTTAAAGCTGGAACAGATGTTAGGCATTCCAAACTTGCCAATAAATTCTTTAAATCTGGCCCTAGAGAGTGTTTCGTGATTGACCTAGTGACCAGAGAATTAGAAGAGACTTGAGATAGATCAATGACCTAGGATCCACATGGCAGAACAAGCTTGATTGGGGGTTGAGAATCAAGCTTGAGAATCAAGCTTCAATCCTTCAATATCCTTAGGATCCACATTCCCCTTCATATATAAATGTGATAAATCATCTGGCTCTTGACATTTCATCAGTTCAGGTAGGTCTTTATGTTCTCACATTCTAACTTTTGGTAACTCGTAGCTAGAATCAAGAGCTTGCAAAATCGTTGTAAAGCTTGACTGATATCTACTATATTTTAATATCATAATATATATATTTGAAGTTCATTTTTGTTTTGTGTGTTCAACTTAAATTGTGTGATAAACTATGATATATATATTTGTAATTTTAGCTTTGGTTAAGTAATTATTTATCAGTTTTATAATAAATTTGACGTTGAACACTTTGAAATAAGAATAACATTTTTTTTAACATGATTCAAGTTGCCCTTAAATAAATTTTAGCAGTTATATAATATAATTGTACATACTTTTTATATAAAATATAATTGTATATTTTAATGTATATTTTAAGAGTTACTCCCTTGGCCCTATTTGTAGGACACTGTCTGAAAATATTTTTTGGTCCAAAATGTAACACACCTTGCAATAATTAAACAACTTTTTCCTATTTTACTCTTTTTTGATTAACGTGAAGGTATTTAATGTAATTTTGTCATTATTTAGAGCCAAGGGTGAAAATGAAAGCATATCCCATTTTTTTATGATATTAAGAAAAAAATCAATTTTTTTTAAGATGTGTGAAACGGTTGAAAGTATCTTATAATAAGGATCGGAGGGAGTATCTATTAATAGAGATAAATTTTTTTACCATAATAAAAGAAAGATAACTATGATGAGTTTACAATATGAGTTTATGTTACAAGTCTACTTTTCCAGTTTGGGTTTGCTTAAACTTATGAGGTTGAAAAAAGAAGCTTGCTTGCTTTCAAATTCAAATTCTCAATCTTCTTTATCTGGTGCTTGATGCATGGTTTGGCTCATGATCAAAATTTGTTTGCGTGGTATTAGGTGTTCTCATTTTCTCCTTCTCATTCACTCTGGTTTGCAGAAATTTCTGAAGAAGAAGCTGAAGATCGTTTGCAAGATGCTATTCAGGAGAAATTTGCTGTGTTTGGAGATGTATGCATAATTTGGTGGATTTATTTATATATTGCAGTTTTTTAATTTCCATTCTCGTTTTTTTCAATGGGATTAACTTATATCACTAGGCAACCTAGAATTGCATATTTCATATGAAGCAGAATATTCATGTGGTTAAATCTTAGACTATGATGCTAATGTTCTTTAGCTCTATTGATTTCCTTTTTCTTTTTGGTTATGTGAGGGGAAGCACCAGTAGGATTATTTTATTCTTGTAGTGAGATAAATTAGGATATCTTATTTAAATTAGGAGATCTTGATTATTGATTAGATTTACTTTGGTTTTGAATTAGCGTTTACCTTTTTATTTTGTTGAAAGTCTTGCTCAATAGTTTCAATGTTTTCTTGTAGTTCACTGATAGAACCCTGTTGAAATAACAGCAAATAACACCAAAAAAAAAAAAAGGAACAGAAGTGATAAATGAGGGAAATATTGGGGTTTTTACTAGTAGAATCAAATAAAACAGAATCAGTGTTATAAGAGTTCCACTGATTCTATTAAAACCCTATTCTCCTGTTACAATACCAAGTGAAATCCACAAAAAGCAACATTTCATAAATCACGGGCAATATTTAACCACTGGCATTTTGAGAAGCCAGACTCTCCTCACTATCTCATAATACAAAATAATCCATGGAGAGAAACCCCATGGCTGAGAGACAATAAGGACTCCTAAAAGTAACTTACACAGTCCCCAACACAATCTAAATCACTAGGTAGCCTCCTGAACATGAATGGGCTGGCATTACTTTTCCTTGTTACTAGGATCCATGGGATAAATGCTTGAACCAGCAGTGAATTCCTTTTCTGCCCTCTTAGTCTCCCTTGATTTCCTCTTATAGGTCTTAATGAACCTATCAGCTCTATCATTCACATTCTGTTTCTATTTGCTTATTACTTATTTGTTAGTTTGTTTTATTTAAATTAATATTTTATAGTGGTCCTCCCATAATATGATCTCTGATGGGATTAAGTTTAGGTTGAAGATTGCTCAGGGTCATCAATAAAAAATAATTTATCCCAATGCTTCTCCTGATCTTTGCCTTGCATCATGGCTTGCAACAATGATTTGAACTCATGTTGAAGAGACTCAATTTTGCATAGGTGGTAGTATCCGTATATTAATCCTTCAAATTGACAATGTCAGACTAGGTATCATAATCGTGTAGTATATCATTATCATAGATAGCTGCATCTTTATTCCAATAGATGAGCTCATAGATGGTTGAGGGGAATAATGAAGAGGTGTAGGTCGAAGAATCCTGGAGGTTGCACTGCACTATGTTGTTAGATAATGTTCGTAATATCAAGGGCTAGGTTTTAATGATTAAGATCACAGGTAAGCTTATTTGGGAGCTTAAAAACATTCAAATGTATATTTAATTAAGGATTTGAGATTCTACTACAGAATGTGTAATTCTTGATTTTACTCTCAGGAGTAGATTTGAACTTTGAATATCTATATCATCAAATTTAATTTTATATCTATTAAAGTTTCACTTTTTTTTTTAATATTGTATTCTTTCAGTTTTATTTTTTCCTATATTCTTCTCTTTTCTATTGTCTTTATCTGCGGAGTACTTTCTTTGTGAAATAGCAACACCATTAATGAAATCTCTACCCCTTTCACAGCCAAACAAACATAGTATGTACTTCTTTGTTGACAATTTGATGGTGATTAATGTAATTTTGTTGCATGCTGCAGAAAGATCATCAAGCCATAGACATTCTTCTTGCAGAGATTGATATATATGAGCTATTTGCTTTTAAACATTGCAAGGGAAGGAAAGCCAAGCTTGCCTTGTGTGAAGGTGAACTCATCTTATTTAGCTTTCTTAATGTTTGTATTTCACTTTCCAATGACATTTGAAACATTCTGATTGAATTCTTTTTGTTGGTGTTGCATGTGGCTGTAAGTAGTCTGACTAAATAGTTAGTGTATATAAGCATGTGTCGTGTTCCATATTTTGTGGGTTGTAATTTCATAATAAGTAATAGTTTTTTTTTTTTTTTAAAAAGAGGATTCACCTATTCAATGGCTTGTCTGGTAATCTTCTATAAATATTGACAGTAAGGGAGAGAAATTCATTTATGATAATTACTAGAGAGAGTATGCGTGATATTTATACACGAGGATGAAAAGTATCCTATCTGAACAAAAGGTGGAGAATAATTTTAATTCAATTTACAACAGAGAGAGTAGCAATACATATAGAGGATGATGTGCAACACGCTTGCCATTCATTCCCAAGCAATATGGCAGAAACAAAGGAGACAAAAGAATCAGATATAAAATAGGAAAAATTCAATTTTGAATTCGGTCTCTATTGTTTATTTTTCTTTAATTAAACCCTTATAGTTTGATTTGGGAGATTTATTAATCCTTGAAGGTTAAAATCCTTGATTTTTCCTCTAAAAAAAGAAATTAAGAACTTTTATATTTTTATTAAAAGGCTATATAACTTAAGAATTGATTGCAAAATTTTTATAACTCTATTTATATAATTATGTTTTGTTTTCTAAACAATTTTTAGGAAAAAAAATATTCTCCAGGTCCTTATAATTTCCCTTATTTTTGAATTAGGTTCATGTAGTTTATTTTGTTTTCAATCAAACTCTTATAGTTTGATCTAACTTTTTTAATTCTTGAAGGTTAAAATTCTTGAATTTTTCCTTTCAAAAAATGAAATTAAGAACTTTTATATTTTTTATTAAAAGATTATATAACTTTATAATTAATTACATAATTTTTATAACGTAATTTATATAATTTGGTTATGTCTTCTAAATAATTTTTATGCAAGTAGAATGTTCATAAAAAAAATAATAAAAATGTAAACATTGTATTAAATCAAACTTCCTTTTTTATTTTTTTGGCCAAAAGTATTAAATCAAATTTTCTATAAACTTCAAAAGTGTTTTTGTTTTGGGAAAGTTAATTATTAATTAATAATTTTTACCTTTAGGAATAAACATATCTAATAGATTAAACTATAAGGGTTTGATTAAAACAAAATAAATTACGAGGACTTTATAAAGTACAATCAAATTGCCAAAGACTAGGAGGAGAATATACAGAATTAGAAGCCTGATAAAGGGCTTCTATGGGAGTATTTTCAACCATTAGAAGATATGTCACTATTTGTTTGGTCACGTACCGTGGTGCTTTGAGTATTATTCTAGGAGTAAGCATCTTTACTATATCATTGACAAAATTAAAATAAAATTTCAGCGCATTGTATGGTGAGCTGACGGTTAATTCACATTTAAAGTGCAAAGGACTTTCGTGGCAGGGGGAGTGCCAGAGATATTAACGACATGACTTCATTGAATGACTTGAACTTTTGGATTGAAGTAACCTTTCTCAATAACTTGCACAAACTTTATTGTTTTTACTTTGGCCTGAGAATTTTATTGTTATTGTGATAAAGTATTTCATAACTTAACATCTCAAGTAGTGTTGATGAATCATATTGCTTTAATAATATGATTAATTTCAGAACTTGATGAGAGGATGCGGGATTTGAGAAATGAGCTACAGTCATTTGATGGTGAAGAATATGATGAAAGTCATAAGCGAAAGGCCATAGAGGCATTAAAGCGAATGGAGAGCTGGAATTTATTCAGTGATACGTTAGAGGTAGGCCATTTTGTTCGTCTATTCAAGTTGAGTATCAATAATTCTTGAGCTGTTAGCCGGTCATATCAATAATGTTTAGATCTTGAAGAGAGCTTCTATCCTGGTCTTTCCCCTCTGCAGGAATTTCAAAATTACACAGTTGCCCGGGATGCTTTTCTGGCACATCTTGGTGCTACTCTATGGGGCTCCATGAGACATATTGTTTCACCTTCACTTGCTGATGGCGCCTTTCATTACTATGAGAAGATATCCTTTCAGTTGTTTTTCATTACACAAGAGGTAAGAAATAATTCCATTGATTTTGAATGGATTCATTAACAGAACATTGATGTTGCGATTGCTATCACATCTGCAGAAAGTTAGACATATTAAACAGCTTCCAGTGGATATGAAGGCTATAATGGAAGGACTTTCCTCATTGTTGGTGCCTTCTCAGAAGCCAATGTTCAGCCAGCACGTGTACGCAGTTAAAATTATAGTTGTTTCTTCATTTTGTTTGCCAGAAGACCTTTTTCAGTCATTCTTGAACCTATATTAAGACATTTTCTTTTGGTAGTAAATCATTCAAATACATTAGTTGGTGTTGGATGGTTAGTTTCCTTCATAACCTGCATAAGTTTTGAATAAATGTAAAAAAATGTTTGTAGGTTGTTACTAGCAGAGGATCCTGCTTTAGCAATGGCCTTCTCTGTTGCTAGGCGAGCAGCTGCTGTCCCTCTATTACTTGTGAATGGGACTTACCGCAAGACAATCAACACCTACCTTGATTCTTCAATTCTTCAGTATCAGCTGCAGAGGCTCAATGAGCATGGTTCTCTTAAAGGTCCTTGTCAAATTCTTGAAATTCTCTTTTATTTTAAAACGAGTTTTAATAAGAAATTTTATTAGGAAGAGAAGAATCTACAACTAGCACTGGGATATATCTTCTTGGTTCTACAGTTCTACTAAAAGGGATTCTCAAAAGTCAAAACAGAACATACTTAATAATATAAACCCTGTAATGATGCCCCCTTCAATTTTTCTTTGATGAAGTGTCTATCCATTTCATCATGCCTTGTATCATGATGTACAAGATTTCTAACCTTTTCAATGGCAGATTTACTATCACACCACAATTTTATGGGTGTCATATAATCTAGCTTTAACTCATTTAATACCCAGGTGATCCATATCCCTTCACAAATTCCATGTGCTGATGTTTAGTCTCAGCACTACTTCTAGAAACCATGGACTGCTTCTTACTCCTCCAAGTAACCTCATTTCCCCACATAAATTTAATGTACCAGTGGTGTACCTCCTATCCAGGCATGATCTTTCATGATCTGCATCAGTGTAGATTTGTATAACTCTTGACTTTCCTTTCTCAAAGGATAGTCCTTTTCCAGGATTTAGTTTCAAATACCTCAATATCATGTAAACTGCTTCCATCTGTTCTTTCTGGGGATTGTTCATAAATTGGCTTACCACATCTACAGGGAAACTAATATCTGTTCACGTGTGGGAAAATAGATCAACTTTGCCACAAGTCTAAGGTACCTTCCAATGTCTATTGGTATGCCATCTGGTGTTATGCTCCATATTGCAATTAGCTTCTATAGGGGTCTCAGTTGGCCTAGCTCCAAGCATCCCTGTATTGTAAATCAAGGGTTTACTTTCTTTGTGATTCGTTGATCCCTCTACTCGATCTTGCTATTTCCATTCCTAGGAAGTATCACGTCTGTCCCAAATACTTCTTTTCAAACTTGGTTGCTACAACATTTTTAGATTCTTGTACTTATCTTTCATTGTTCCATTTTATAACAATGTCACCTAAATACACTATTAAAATGGTCACTCTTACACCATTATGCTTAATGAGTGATGTATGATCTGGTTGTCCTTGAGAATACTCCTCTGCTTCATAGACTTGGAGAGCCTTACAAACCAGGTTCTAGGAGACTGCATTAACCCATGCAAAGATTTGTGAAGTTTGCATATCTTTGATGAGTTTTTAGAACTTTGCAACCCTACTAGGATATCCATATATGCTTCTTCAAGGTCTTGTTCAAGAATGCGTTCTTCACATCTAGTTGGTGAAAGGGCTAGTCTATATTTCCTGTAGACTTATTAGATGCCAAAAGCTGTTATTTTATTCATAGGAGAATAATACAATTTAAGTTGAGGCACAAACTGTAACTTAGTTGATTTGGCTGAGACTACAATAGCAAAAAATCTGGAAAATAAATCAAATCAGATCTCTTAATATTAAAACTATGATGCTGCTGTCAGAAACATATTAAGTAAAGTAGAGAATATAAAACCCTATGATAAAAAGAGAGTGATAAAGGTTTGGGCCCAATGGGCCATATGCGACGTCAACACTTTCCCTCAAGCTAGTGAACAGATATCCATCGTTCCCAGCTTGCTCCTGAGTTCTTCAAATTGTGGTCTTGCTATTGCCTTGGTGAAAAAAATCAGTCACTTGGGCATGTGAGGAAACATGGGCTAGATCAATTATTCCTGAGTCCATCTTCTCTTTGATGGAGTGTTTGTCAATTTCTATATGCTTGGTCCTTTTATGATGAATAAGGGTTGTTTACCATCCCAATAGTGGACGACTGTCCCACCTCATCTTGATAGGTGTGTTAGGCTCAATTTTTGGTTTTTTTAGTAGTCTGAGTGACCACAATCCTTTGCATACATCATGTGCTAGAGATCTAAGCTCAGATTCTGCACTACTTCTGGATACAACTGTTTGCTTCTTGCTTCTCCAAGTTACCATATTTCCCTAAACAAGGGTGCAATAACTAGTGGTGGATCTCCTGTCAGGCAGAGAACTCCCATAATCAGCATCATTATAAACTTTGATTTCCCTGGAACTGCCTTTTGCAAAGTAAAGCCCCCTACCTGGAGTCATCTATAAGTAATGCAGAATTCTGTACACTGCATTTGTGTATTCTTCTAATGGTTGATTTGCAAATCAACTCACCACTCCAGCAGCATAGTTTATGAAAATCTGGTGTAAGGCAGATTTATCTTTTGTGAGAAAAACCCAAGTTTATTGTATATAATCGTCAATAAGTATTTCAAACCATTTTGCATTGGATAAAGATGGGATGCGTGCAAATCCCCAAATGTCACTATGCATAAGAGCGGAAGGTTGAGAGGGTTGACGAGGATGTAGTTTATGGGAGTTTTTGGTATGCTTTGAAATTTGACAAATATCACAAGTAATGGAAGACGTACTTTTATTCATAGAGCTTGGAAACAATCTGGACAAATATGTGAAGTTAGGGTGGCATAACCTATAATGCCGCAATGACATATCTTTATTGGTGAACTGAATAGAGAAGTTCTTTTTTGCAACAGAATCATTGATAGCCTATATGTTAGCATGCCATTCCCTTGATGAAAAATGAAATTCAGAGTCTTTTATTCTCTGAAAAACTTCCTGCAGGATGAAATCCTTCGCTATTGTGATTTGTTTACTAAATTATCCAATTTCTCTCAAATTTCACCCATCTCTTTCTCCAAGTTTTCTTGCATTTACCAACTAGCATCACCTTCACTCATACTGGAAACTGGATCTGATACTCATTTCTTTGGGGGCGGACTTGAAACCAGATCTGATGCCACTTTTTGAGGAAACCACTGTCCTAATAAGGTTCTGACAAAACACAACAAACCAGAAAATAACAATGAACAAACATACACGCAGCAGAGAAATAGAAAAATAGAGCTGAGACAGAGGTGGCACAGTCTCCTAGATGGTTTGATAATGCTAGAATTTCCCAAGCCCATTAAATTCCAACTAACTGCTTATGGTCTCCCAGTCCTCTCTGTCCTTTTGCTCTTTACCTCTCCTGGCAACTCAATTGATTACTGCTGACTGTTCTTCAAATACCCCTCCTGGACCTCATCCAAATAAAAGCCACCCTTGAACCCTTATTCTACATGCTTTGCTTAGAAAGAGTGAAAGACTATAGAAGGCTTTTAACTGTTCTAACATTGTATTTTTCCTTTCTCATTTCCTTTTTCCTTATGCTGCAAATGCATATTTCTTTGTGCAAGTCTGTTTCTTTACTGAATGACAATATGAGCTTTGTTCTGCTGCAATAGTGCTTCCCTAGCCTCTTAATAGATTTCTGGCATTCCTAGCCAATCAAATGTTTGACATGGTTTGATGCATGAATTGTTTCCTATATCATTTCAGAAAAAAAGTTTTCGCCCTTTGTTGCATGCTCTTTTGGGCATTCACTAAATATTTGTGGACAATGCAGGTAGCCATGCACATTCCAGATCCACTTTAGAGGTTCCAATTTTTTGGTTCATTTACAGTGAACCACTTTTGCTGGACAAACATTATCAGGCAAGGTCTCTTTCTGACATGATTATTGTTGTTCAGTCTGAACACTCTTCGTGGGAAAGCCATCTACAGTGCAATGGGCAATCGCTTTTATGGAACTTGAGGTTAGATTCTGGATCTACCTTTTGTGTATTTAAAACTTGCTCATTAATTTAGCTCTTTAGGAAATGCCGTGGTGATTGGGCTAGCAGATTCTGGCTGTTAAGGGATGTGCATCATCCACCTTGTATTTCAGACTTTTGTCCAGAGTGCAGTGTATTTTATTTGGCAGGGAAAGGGCAATAGAAGTGCTGCTACTGAATAAAATATCAATTGTCTCAAGTCATATTATTTATGAAACTAATTAGACTAAATATATATATATATATTGAAAGTTGAATTCTATTTTACTTTTGATATGATTACTATTATCAGATATTTAATATTTTTTTCTTTTTGCATCATTGTCCAAATATCTTTTCTTTTTACATCCTTTCTCTGGACAATGAAGGCAACCTATAAAAGCTGCAGTGGCTGCTGCTGCTGAGCATCTTGCAGGCTTGCTCCCCCTTCATCTTGTTCATAGTCAAGCCCATGAGTCTTCAATTGAGGTAAATTTCGTGTTTGTACAACTTATGTAGCATTTTCATGGATCTACTCAAGTAAAATCCAGATTTCTGTTTTAGGTTTTGCAATTTCAGTTCTTGTTCAGTGCAGTTGGTACCTAGTATCTTAAATTGTTATGGCACAGGACGTTGCTTTGGGTATACATGAGCCTCGTACTAACACTAACAATTTCTATTAATTCTATTTGGTTTGATTTTTCAGTGACCAAACACTAAGTTCTTTATTTATTTGTTATAGTTTTTGTATTTTCTTAGTTTCTCTTAAGAAGCTATATTATTTTCCTCCCTTGCATGATACAAATAACATAAGTTTTGCAAGCTTGATGACCTTTAAATGTGCATCTTGAGTAGTCAATTTGCAGAATTTTGCTCCTCTATCTAGTGTAATTTAACTATTGTCTTGGGGTTTATTTCTAAATATTACAGGAGTGGACATGGTCTGTAGGCTGTAACCCTTTCTCCATGACATCCCAAGGTTGGCATCTTTCACAGTTTCAATCTGATTCAATAGCTCGGAGTTACATCATCACAACTCTTGAAGAGTCAATTCAACTGGTTAATTCAGCAATTCATCTTCTACTCATGGAACGTACTAGTATCCTTGTAATCTAGTGTTGTAGCCATTGGAGGATTCAATTTTTCCATATTCTAGTGGCATCATGATCATTCTTGGAGGATGCTTTGCATTTTTATTTCTCTAATCTCTGTCTTTTCTAGCAAAGCCTTCTTTTTTATGATAAAAAGGGAATTGATTAATAAAATGAGTAAATGGCGTCAACTAGAATTTACTTACTACAAACAAGATTATTGAAAAATGTTTATAGTATATTGGGAAACCTAAGGTCATCTCCAGAATTTCTTTGTTTCGTTTGGGTAATGGAATTTTAAGGTATAATTTGGCGTGTGTGATTTCATTAATTCAACTTGTAATGTCTTTCTTTAATGTAAAACTATTTGAGCAGTAATCTAGCAGCTTAAGCTTTTCAGGTATTTGGTTTCTTACCGTCATATCCAAGCCTTAATGTTGGGAGACTGAATCAGGGTCATTTTATCTTTATACAAAGATAATTAGGACATTTTATTAATGTTATTTTCATTATTTTAGTTAGGATATCTAGATTTTCTTTTAAACAAATTCAATGCATTATGATTTATAGGTTTATTGGCATCTCATCATTCCATCTTATCTAGGTTTGTTTGGATTATTTTCATTATTTGAATAATTGTATTAGAGGCTCTATAGATATGAAGACCTTGTTTAATACAAAAGGTCTCGTTCAACAACTTCCCTAAGTGTTTTCTTTAGTCTCCCTCTGTTCTTTTTATGAGGGTCAAGAATATCTGTTCCACTTTCCTCACTGGTGCTTTTCATGGCCCTCTCTATGCATATCTAAGCCATCTCAAACTATTTTCTACCATTTCAATAGATACCATGCTCACTTCTTCTCGTATATGCTAAAGAAAAATTTGCATTCTAGTGGCTATTTTTTATCCAATTGACAAGCTCTAAATTGGGACATGATTTAGCACTGGTTTACTTCAACACGAATCTCATAATATAAGCCCTGAAATTGCTTATGACTTTGTCAAGCTTTGAAGGAAGGACAATCATAATCCCCATCAGTGGTAGTTGTGCCTGCTAATGTTGGCATTAGTGCTCGGCTTCATCATGTTCTTGTTCCTCTTCAACCATTTATTGTGCCACCTTTTGAGGAAATTGTTGAAGTTATGGAGGAGCATGTTGTTTTCCCATCTTACAATCCCCTTTACCATTATTACCATGTTTGTTGGAAAGGTTTTGCAAAAGTGAATGTTAGTTGGGTATCTAAGAGAAGTTCGGGTCTCAATTTTATGGAGTCAATTGTGCCATCTATTGCTGTGAATGATCAGATTGTATGCTCTCCGCATGATCCCACCTTCATCATCATCTTGTTTGTTTGTAGGGTTTCTTGAAAGGGTTTCCTAGATTCAATGCTATGTGGTGCAGTTTTCCACTTACATCTTGCCTGCTTGGAGTATTTCACTGGAGTTCTTTCTTTAGTTTACTAAGTGGGGAGGAAATGATGGCAAACAAAATTAGGGTTATTTTATATTTATTTTAAGATTATTAGGATTTTATAATGAAGTTATTCTAATTAAGATTGATATTTGGATTATTGTTTTAAAAAATTAGCTGGATTTGGAATTATAGAATTTATCATATTATCCTATTTTACCTTGTCTAGGTTAGCTTAGATTATTTTTATCATTTGAATTATAAAAATAATTGTGCGTAGGGCTCTATAAAGAGGCCCCAGGTTATTTTGATATTAGATTTGACTACCTTTTGAATACAATATTGAGAATTTGCGGTCACTATCCCCTTATATCTCTCTATATTATCAAATTAAAAGAACATAAAATATTAAAGCAAATTGTGATTTTGGGCTAAACTTTTAATTCAAGGCTGTCATTCTTCTGTCAAGAACTTTGCAGTGTTTTTGTCCCATGCAACTTGCATGAAATTTCTGTGGATGAATACTTGACTAAATAAAGATGAAAAAAGTTTCAAGATTTTCAAGTCCCAGGAGTATGATCTTGCGAACAAGTACAATTATGTTGTTAGCCTTTGGAGAAGGGTGAGTACTGAGTATTATTATTTATTAACTTAGTATTTAATGCCGTTTTGTAGTGAATGGGTTTTCAATCTTACATTTTCAGGTATCAACAGTCACTGGAGAATTACGTTATGATGAAGCAATGAGGCTGCTAAATACCTTGGAAGATGCATCCAAAAGGTTAGACAATATTATTCTTATTTATACTTTCTTTTGGGTTACCATCTTTTTTTGGTTTGTTTGAGTGGATGATTACTGATATGGAAATTGATTGTGAAAAGAGAGGGCAAGAGAATAATATGAATATTATCAATCTTATTGAATTGCAATTCAAGTCTGTACGCTAGTAATAGGATCAAAGGTAGGTAGAGAAAAATAAGCAATAGAATTTTTTTTTTTAAATATGAAATCAGAATCTAACTTCATGAATTAATAAAACAACAACAACAACAACAACAAGCCTTTATCCCACTAGGTGGGGTCGGCTACATGGATTGCAAGACGCCATTGTGTTCTATCATTTATTAAGCTTTTAGAAATATTATTAATTAAGAGATCACGTTCAACAACTTCCAAGAGTGTTCTCTTAGGCCTTCCTCTACCTCTCTTAATCGGACTCAAAGTTATATGTTCCACTCTTCTCACTGGTGCCTCCCTTGGTCTTCTTTGTACATGCCCAAACCATCTCAACCGATTTTCTACCATTTTTTCCTCAATAGGTGCCACCCTCACTTTTTCACGTATGTGCTCGTTTCGAATTTTATCTTTACGTGTATGTCCGCACATCCATCGTAACATTCTCATCTCTGCTACTCCAACTTTATGCTCTTGCTGTCCCGTTAGAGCCCAGCATTCACTACTATATAACATTGCCGGTCTGATAGCAGTACGATAAAACTTTCCTTTAAGTTTATTAGGCACCTTACGGTCACAAATAACTCCTTTAGCTTTTCTCCAATTAAACCACCCAGCTTGAATTCTATGTAAAATATCTCCACTGATTTCGCCATCATTTTGAATAATGGCTCCCAAATATCTAAACTTTTCCACTTGAGGTATAATTTGATCTCCCAATTTCACTTCCAAATTATTTTCGAATAGTCCTTTATCAAATTTACAATATAAATATTCCGTCTTACTGCTACTCAGACGAAAATCTTTCGACTCCAATGTCCTCCTCCATAACTCAAGTTTGCAATTAACCTCTTCTCTTGTCTCTGCTATAAGAACTATATCATCCGCGAAGAGCATACATTTCGGGATTTCCTCTTGAATATGTTCCGTCAAAACATTTAAAATCAAGTTGAACAAATAAGGACTCAGAGATGATCCCTGATGTAGTCCAATCTTTATAGGAAAATCCTTTGTTTGACCACTATGCGTTCTTATACTAGTTTTTACCCCCTTATACATATCTTGTATGGCTTTAATATAAGCAATCCGTACTCCCTTTTTTTCCAACGCTTTCCAAAGCACTTTTCTTGGTATACGGTCATAAGCTTTTTCCAAATCAATAAAAACCATGTGTAGATCTTTATCTTTACAACGATACTTTTCCATTAATCCCCTTAGTAGATAAATCGCCTCTGTAGTTGATCTACCTGGCATAAAACCAAATTGATTCTCAGAAATACTTGTCTCCAATCTCAACCTGTGCTCAATTACTTTCTCCCACAATTTCATTGTGTGGCTCATGAGTTTAATCCCTCTATAGTTAGTACAATTCTGAATATCTCCTTTATTTTTATAAATAGGAATTAATGTACTTCTCCTCCACTCATCAGGCATTTTCTTGGACCGTAAAATCACATTAAATAACTTAGTTAACCATCTCACCCCTTCTTCACCTAAACATTTCCACGCTTCGATAGATATACAATCAGGTCCGTTAGCTCTACCATTTGCCATTTTTTTAAGAGCTTCCTTTACCTCCTTATCACGTATTTTTCGATAGAATGACAAATTTTGTTCTCCTTCACCAGTTACTAAATCCTCCGAGTTACTAGATGAATCCTCTCCATCATTGAAAAGTTTAGAAAAATAAGTCTCCCATCTATTTTTAATTTCATCATCTGTAACTAAAATTCTTCCCTCTTCATCCTTAATACACCTTACCTGTTCTAGATCTCTTTATTTTCTTTCCCTACTCTTGGCAATCTTATAAATATTTTGCTCTCCTTCCTTCGTCTCAAGGTTCTTATAAAATTCTTCAAAAGCTTTAGAACGAGCTTCACCCACAGCTCTCTTAGTTTCCTTCTTAGCCATACGGTACCTCTCCCAATTTTCCTCATTGTTACACAAATGTATGGCTTTAAAACAGTTCTTCTTATACTTGATTTTGTCCTGTACACTATTATTCCACCACCAAGACTCCTTATCTCTTGGACCAGAACCTTTCGATTCTCCCAAAACTACTTTTGCAACCTCCCGTATCTTTTTAGCCATATCCTCCCATATGATGTTAGCACTTCCCTGAGAATCCCAAATTCCTTTATCCAAAAGATTTCTCTTGAAAATATCTTGCTTCTCACCTTTTAATTGCCACCACCTAATCCTTGGTGTTACTACTTGTCGACGTTTTTGGATTTTACTCATAATACACACATCAAGGACTAGGACCCTATGTTGTGTCGTTACAGCATCTCCAGGGATCACCTTACAATTTTTACAAAGTTTTCTATCTGTGTTCCTAACCAAAAGAAAATCAATCTGCGACCTTGAGGCTCCACTTTTGTAGGTGATGAGATGCTCATCTCTCTTCTTGAAACAAGTGTTGGCAATCTTAAAATCATACGCCAATGAGAAATCAAGAAGAGTTTGCCCTTCATTGTTTAGCTCTCCAAAACCAAAACCACCATGCACCCTCGCATACTGACCAGCTTCCCTCCCGACATGCCCATTAAAGTCTCCTCCAATAAAAATCTTTTCACTCTGTGGTATGTGTCGAATCAACCCCTCCAGATCCTCCCAAAATAATTCCTTAAGACTGGCTTCTGTCCCGACTTGCGGCGCATAAGCGCTAACAATATTAACAGTCTCACGTCCAATTATCATTTTTAAAGAAATAATTCTGTCTCCAATTCTGCTAACTTCTACAACGTTCTTCTTCCACTCCTTATCTATAATGATGCCTACTCCATTGCGTGCACTTACTTTTCCTGTATACCAAAGTTTGAAACCTTGAATATCCTTAGCTTCTTCTCCACGCCATTTTGTTTCTTGCAAGCAAAGGATATTGATTTTCCTTTGAATCATAACCCCTACAACCTCTACAGATTTACAATTTAATGTCCCAACATTCCAAGTACCAAATCTAATTTTGCTCTTATGGACTAACTTCTTTAGCCGCGTGCGTCCAGAATGACGCGGTAGCCCTTGCTCATTTAACACTACATCCGGGCGCCGATGCAGCGGCTCTAACTCACTTATCACTGTACTCGAGCCATGCAGCGCGTTACTTACGGGCAACGACCTAGCATTAACATTATAACGTCTATTGTCCATGTTCATGATAGATTCAACAAATTTTTACATTGGCTGTTGATGGCCTAACACAACCCTCCTCCTTTACCCGGGCTTGGGACCGGCTATAAACATAGGCGGAGTTGAATTAATAAAGATGAAGGAAAATCTTGAGTAGGAGGTAAGAAAGAATATGAAACTCATACAAGTAATAAAGGCAAAGGAGAATCTCCACTGATAAAGATAATGATTTTATTTCCAGATACTTTCTGCATGATGTGTGCCTCAATATTTATAGACAGAAAAATAACTAATAATCCCTAAAAATACTCCCATTAATCCATCACTAAGATAATGGGGAATAATGACCTAAAATATGAATAAATAAATATAAACACTAACTTAATCTCCAAGTACCATAATCCACTACTCTTAAACTCAAGGGCCACTCAACAAAATAGAAAAATAATCTAAATTGTAGTAGTATTTAGACTGAATATTTCATATATTGAGTTGAGAGAGACTCGATACATATATAGGAGAGGATGGATCTAATTAAATCCCTAAACACTCTCCTAAAATCTCTAATAATATAAAGCTAATTAAAGATAATTAAAGACTCTGAAAAGTAAACGATACTAGTAGAATAGAGGAAAGGAAAGTTAGGTTTTGAGGTATTAGTGGGCCTAGGAACCAGTAACATAGAGCCCATATCCAACACTCCCTCTCAAGCTGGTGAGTAGATGTTTATCATTCCCAGCTTGCCTCTGAATGCTTCAAACTTTTCTTGGGTCAAAGGTTTGGTCATCACATTTGCACTTTGCTGTCCTGAAGGGATGTAGGATAGATCGATGGCCTTGGTATCTAACTTTTCCTTGATAATATGCTGATCAATCTCTATATGTTTAGTACGATTATGATGCACATGATTATTGGCAGACATGTTATCACACCATGTTTTAATGGGTCCAATCATATCAACCTTAAGTTCCTTTAGAAGTCTAACAATCATAAGTTCCTAAAGCAAGTGCCTTATATTCAGATTCAGCAGAGATTCTGTTTTTTTTGGGGCCAAGCAATAGAGATTCTTATAACAGATTGCTTCTTACTTCTCCAGGTCACCAAGTTGCCCTACACATAAGAGTAATAGCCAGTAGTAGATCTTCTATATATCTTTGACCCGCCTAATTAGCATCTACGAACAATTCTATACCTCTAGTATCACCTTTTGCGAAGAACAACCCCAGTCCTGGAGTCTTTTTCAAGTACTTGAGTATCTTGTAAACAGTAGCTATGTGTTCCTTTTGAGGACAACTTGAGAACTGACTAACCATGCTCACAGGAAAGCAAATGTCAGGTCTGGTATGGGATAAATAGATCAACTTGCCCACTAGCCTCTGCTATCTTTCTTTATTCCCTGCAGTCCCATCAGATCTGATGGTCAATTTCTGGTGCAGTTCCATGGGAGTATTTGCAGGTTTTGCTCCTAATAGCCCCGTTTCCTTCAACAAATCCAGAGTATATTTTCGCTGTGGCACACTAATCCCCTTGTGCGTTCATGCCACTTCCATGCCTAAGAAGCATCTCAACAATCCAAGATCTTTGATCTCAAATTCGGTTGCTAAGTTGTATTTTAGTTCGACAATTTCCCCATCATCATTTCCTGTCAAAACTATATCAACATACATAATGAGAGATGTCATTTTATCATCACAATATTTAACAAATAGAGTATCATTTGCCTGACATTGTTTGTATCCCCATGCTTTGATGGCCTGAGTAAATTTTTCAAACCATGCCCTCAGTGATTGTTTCAAGCCATACAGAGACTTTATCAACTTGCAAACCTTACGAGAATTATGAGAGTTTCGTAATCCTAATGGGATTTCCATATAAACTTCTTCCTCAAGATCACCATTTAGGAATGCATTCTTGACATTAAGTTGATGAAGAGGCTAATCTAGATTTGCTGCAAGAGACAACAAAGCTTTTACTGTGTTAAGCTTAGCAATAGGTGCAAAGGTTTCCTGGTAATCAATGCCATTAGTTTGAGTAAAGCCTCAAGCAACCAATTGAGCCTTATATTTGTTTATACTCCCATCAGGATTGTATTTTATTGTGAAGACCCACTTACTACTTACAATTGACTTTCCCTCAAGCAACTTGGTAATTTCCCATGTTTGGTTTTTATGTAGAGCCCTCAATTCTTCTTCTGTAGCCTCTTTCCATTTGGAATCTATGATTGCTTCCTCAAAGTTCTTGGGGATATTTTCCCTTTCAACATTAGCTACAAATGCCTTCATATGAGAAGATAAATTTTTGTATGAAATATACCTAGCAACAGGATATCTGGTACAATTTCTTTTTACTTTTCTCAAAGCAATTGGCCAATGTAAGTCTTCAAGACTTTCCTCAGGTGCAAATTCATGATTTTGTGTTGGTATGGAAATGGGCCTTCACTTTGGTGCTATTCAGTAGTATTATTAGGTTCTTCCACCTGAGTCTTGGAACCAGACAACATATTAAGAAGCTCAAAGGGATTTGTATCTTGGAAGCTAGGAATGTTCAGAATTTAGAGATATTGTTTAAATGGGTTCACACTAGTTTGAAGGCTTAAGAGTGGAATCATCCTGATTAGAGGAAGTATTTATGGGCAGCTCTAGTAATGTGTGGTGTCCACGTTGTTGTCCAAAAAGGTTAAGTAAATTATGATGATCATTCTTAGGTAAACAAATTGACCATTCACTTTCATTTGTCCCTCTCTCCCCCTGAATGGGTGATTTGTGGAAAAAAGGCTGGTGTTTGATAAATTTGACATTCATGGTAACATATACATGATTTGTAATAGGAGAATAGCATTTATACCCTTTTTGAGTAGAGGAGTACCCCAAGAAGATACACTTGATGGCATGAGGATCTAGCTTCCCCCCAACCTCAATATACACAAATGCTGTACACTCAAAGACCTGTTTTGGTATGGTTGTTGTGAGATGGGAGTTCAGATAGATCTCGAGAAATTTGTGAAGAGGGGTTTAAATGTTTAGAGTCTTAGAGGGTAAACGATTAATCAAGTAGGCAGAGGTAAGGGTCCAAAATTTATTTGGAACATTACCACCAATCATAATGGCATGAGCAACCTCAAGGAAATGTCTATTTTTCCTTTCAGAGATACCATTTTGTTGGGGAGGAGAGGTACAAGACATTTGATGGTGTATACCGTGTTTTTCTAAGTAGTTTTGAAAATTGGAGTTCAAATATTCTCTTCCATTATCACTAAGAATTTTTATTGATGTTTGAAATTGATTTTGAATAAATGCATGAAATTTTTTGAAGATTGTGAAAACTTCAGATTTTTCTTTCATAAGGAAGACCCATGTTACCCAAGTATGATCATCAATAAATGTCACAAATCATCTGGATTTAGAATTGGTTTCAAATTTTGATGGACCCCACACATCACTATGGATAAGGGAGAAAGGGTGAGTAGGAGTATACTCGTTTGAAGGAAAAGAGGTTTGAACTTATTTTGCAAAGTCGCAAATATCACAATGGAAATAAAAATTTCATATATTTAGGACTCGGATGGCCTAACCTAGAGTGCCACAAAACAAAATCTGCATTGGTCGTAGCAGAGAAAACAGCACAGGAATTATTTGATGAGGATCCATGGATATGGTAGAGCCTATTCCATTCCTTAGCATTACCAATCATCTTCCTTGAGGCCAATTCCAGAAAATCACACTCTTTGTTGTCAAAAATAACCATGCAATGAGCTTGAATCACAATACGACTCACAGATAATAAACTACACTTAATAGTTGGAACAAACAAAACATTCTTCAAAATAATATGCTCAGAAATTGCTATAGTTCCAGAGCCTATGACTTCGGCATATTCACCATTAGCTACCTCAACTAATTTATGCTCAGAATATTCAGAAATATCAAAGAATAATTCCCTGAATCCTGTTATGTGATCTGTTGCACCAGAATCCACTACCCAAATGTTTTTGGATGTCAGTGTCCCATTTAAAGCTTTGGTAAGAGCAGTAACTGATTGAGCCAAGGTTACAGAAGGAGTTTTTGCCTCACATACATTAGTGGCAGCGGAGAAAGCATGTTTTTCTAATAGTTTCTTAAGAATGGATAGCTCCTCGGCACTCAATGGTCCAATCGCAGAATTTGCAGCTGTCACTATAGGCCTGTTTGGTTCAAGGGGAAGGGAGGTGAGGGGAGCTCCCCCCTCCTAGCCAAATGAGGGGAGGGGAGGGGTCCCAACCAAACACACCGTATAAGTCCATTTCCTTTACCTTTGCACTTATGTTTAAAGTTTGAGGGCTTGCCATGGAACTTCCAACATTCATCCTTGATATGACCACCTTTATTGTAGTGATCACACCACTCTCCTGATTTCTTTCCCTTCATACAGCATCTTTTCGAAGAGAAGTTGGTACAGTGGAGCTTTGCACCCATACATTCCTACTTTCCTTGCACCTTACCATGTTAAAAGTTTCCGTCAGCATAGGAAGTGGTTTCATGCTCATGATTCGCCCCCTAATATCTTCATACGTTTCATTGAGATCCAATAGAAAGTCATAGCATCTTTCTTTATCAACTAATTTTTTGTAACGGAGGCCTTCCTTGTGACACGACTTCTCATGTATCTCATAGAGATCAATTTGTTGCCAAAATTTCATTAGAGAAGTATAATATTGAGTTATAAATTTTTCATTCTGAAGGAGACTTCTAAGGGAATGTTTTAGCTAGAAAATGGTAGTTGTATTTTCTTGAACAGAATAAGTATTCTTGGCTGACTCCCAAATCTCCTTAGCAATGGTTGCAAGTAAGTTTCACTTTCCTCTACTATCATAAAGTTCGCATGCCAAGCCATCACCATGCTGTTTTTAGCAACCCAAACCTCATACTGGGTATCCTTGGGTGATGGAGGAAGAGGAATACTCGTGAGATATTTCTCCTTATTTCTCCCTCGTACAAACATCAAGACGTTCCGGGACCACTGAAGTTAATTATTCCCATTCAAGCGATGGGTGATTGTGATCTGGGAAAAAGCCTAGGACGCTGATGTAATTATGCTAGGAGGATGATTCGAACCCTTTTCTC